GTCTCTTTGCTAATCTGTGTATGTTCCTGCTACAGGAAAAGGGAGATACTGGCCCAAAGAGGGACATTGATGGCATGGGCGTGCCAGAGATCAAGTACGGAGACTCTGTGTGCTTCATCATGCATGTGGCAACAGGACTGTGGCTGTCCTACCAGGCGCCAGATGCCAAATCATCTCGTCTTGGTCCCCTAAAAAGAAGGGTAAATGCATTTTTTTTTTTCTTTTAAAACTTGGATTTGGACTTCAGCCTTCAGCCTTCTGGGATTTTCTTACCTAGATGATTGAGTATGCATCAATAGACTTTGCAGTAACTTTTACTAATGTAGCTGGGATGTAGATGGGACCATTCAATGAACAGTTTAATTTTGCCTGTTTGATGAAAATAAATTGACCAGGGCTCTGTCCCTGCAGTACTGTCACAGCAAAACAATACATAAAATACACGTTGTTTATGTTTATTTAGATGAATCAAATTAGAAGCTGAATAGATCTTCTTCACACTTATTCAGACCCTTCATAGGGTATAATTACAGTGTATATTTAAGATAAAGGTAATTATGGTCCCATTCCATTAAGTGCAACACCAGCAGCTATGCCCACCTGAATTGAACATGACCATAACAAATATTAATTATTACATCTCTCTTCATGCTGAATGTCAAAATAACTGCTATGAAAATAGCCAGGTAATCTGTTTTTTATTGGTCAAGGACAAACTTTTAATAAGTTTGCACCAAATTCTCTTCAACCTCCATATGCACAGCGCACTGTACTGTCGTTAGTCACTTGATTATATTTTACATGACCAATAAACAAAAGAAGTACTGCTGACCGGCCCCAGGTTTCCTTTGTGTTTATGCTAAAATGACTTTATTGGAAAAAATACTCCATCTCAGCATATTGTACACTAAAGTAATCAAGGTAGTATAATGAAGTTCTTGAGCAGAGCACTTCTGCTACTGACCCCTTCATCTGCTCCAACTAATAATATATAAGCCAGTCGATACTTTACTTCAATGGTGCAAATTAAGCAGAAAAGAAGGGGACTGGACTTCACAAAGTACAACAACTTCTTTCTTTTAAGCTCCTCAGACTACCATGATGTGGATGACTGAGAACCTACACAGAGAAATTGGGAAGTAACTCACAGACAGTACAGTGGGGCAAAAAAGTATTTAGTCAGCCACCGATTGTGCAAGTTCCCCCACTTAAAATGATGACAGAGGTCAGTAATTTGCACCAGAGGTACAC